TCTAGATACTGTTGGGTTTATTTCATGCGCAGCAAGGCTGAAGCTTTTGAGAAATTTCAGGAATTTAAAGCTTTAGTTGAGAGTCAGTTTGACAGGAAGATTAAAACTTTGCAAACTGATAATGGCGGTGAGTTTTGCTTTGGTAAGTTTAAGCAGTTTTATGCGACACACAGAATTGCAAGGAAGAAAACTACACCTTACACGCCTCAGCTGAATGGACTGGCTGAACGTCTCAATCGGTCACTGTTAGAGAAAGCTAGGTGTATGCTGAATACGATAAATTTGGGGTCTGAATTTTCTGTTGAAGCTACTGCAATGGCTTGTTATTTGAAGAACCGATCTCCTACCTCTTCTGTTAAAGACATGACGCTGTATGAAACTCTGTATAGTAAGAAGCCTAATCTATCTTTTATTCGAGTTTTTGGTTATGATGCATATGTGCATGTGCATGTGCCAAAGGAGAAAAGAAACAAGCTTGACAGAAAATCTGAGAAATGCAAGTTTGTTGGGTTAAAGGATGACATTAAGGGGTACAAGTTGTGGAATCCTATGAGTAAAAGCATTATATACAGCAGAGATGTTATTTTTAAGGAGGTAAAACAACTTGTGGGAGCTCCTGAAGATCCTAAACAGTCAAAGAAAGTCCAGTTTGATGTGACTACAGTAGAGCAGGAGGAGGAGGTGACTCCTAATGTTGCTATAAAGACTGATAATGTAGAGCCTATAGAATCTGATCATGAAGATAAATTTGATAGTGTGGCTGATGAGGGTGCTGTGGATGGTTAAGATGAAGATTCTAATGATGAAGTTGTGGTGTTGCCAACTTTGAGAAGATTTACAAGAGTTAGAAGGGCACCAATTCATTTTTCTTTAAGTGCCTTGAGTTGATTGCATGCTTTGAATGCGACGGGTGATGAACCTAGGAATGTAAATGAAGCAAGAGCCATGGAAGATGCAAATCTGTGGGAGCTTGCAATGAATGAAGAGATGCAGTCACTATACAAGAATAATACATGGGTTTTATATAAATTGCCTAAGGATAGAAAGGCATTTGGTTGCAAGTGGGTGTTCAAAAGAAAGTTGTAGGCAGATGGAACAATTGCAAAGTATAAGGCGAGGCTCATTGCAAAGGGATTCTCGTAGATTGAGGGTGTTGATTATGGTGAGATTTTCTCTCATATGGCCAAGTTAACATCAATCAGGTATGTTCTATCTATTGCTGTTGCGTATAATCTTGAAATAGAGCAACTTGACGTAAAGATGACATTCTTACATGGAGATTTAGAGGAGGAACTTTACATGAGGCAACCTAAGGGGTTTGTATGTAAAGGGAAGGAAGACTTGGTGTGTAGGTTGAGGAAGTCTCTGTATGGGCTTAAACAATCACCAAGGATGTGGTACCAGAAGTTCGACTCCTATGTTCTTCAACATGGTTTTAACCGTAGCAATGTGGATCACTGTGTGTATGTAAAAAGGTTAGAAAATGTCGTTGTTATTTTAACCTTACATGTAGATGATATGTTGTTGATAGGGAATAACAAGGAGTTGATAAACTCTGTGAAGGGTTTTTTGGCCGCACAATTTGACATAAAGGATCTTGGAGTTGCAAATTTTATTTTGGGTATGCAAATTACAAGAGATCGTCAGAGTTACAAATTGTGGTTAGGGCAGAGAAAATACATTGAGGAGGTGTTAAAGAAATTCAACATGGCAGATTGCAAACCTTTGAAGACTCCTGTGACTTTGGGAGTGAAATTGTCTACTGATCAATGCCCTAAGTCTGAGGAAGATGCTGAAGAAATGACACATGTGTCGTATGCTAGTGCTGTAGATAGTTTGACGTATGTCATGGTATGCACGAGACCTGATATTGCACAAGCAATAGGAGTTTTAAGTCGTTTTATGTCAAATCCTGGCAAAGAGCATTGGAGTGTTGTAAAGAGGGTTCTTAGATATCTGCGTGGGACCTTTAATTTAGAATTATGTTATGGGGGCATGGCAACTGGGGATGAGCTAGATGTGACAGGTTTTGTGGATGCTGATTGGGGAGGTGATCTCGATAGTAGGCGTTCTACAAGTGGGTATGCATTCACTCTATTTGGTGCTGTTGTTTGTTGGATGAGTAAAAGGCAAAGTACTATGGCTTTGTCATTGACTGAGGCATAATACAAGGCATTGACACATGCTAGCAAGGAAGCTATGTGACTTTGAAGATTGAGTTTAGAGCTTGGTTTCAAGTTTGATGTTGTGAAGATGTGACAATCAAAGGGCTATTTACTTAGCCATGAATCATGCCTTTCATTCGCGATCAAACATATTGACATACAATACCATTTCATTAGGCAAAAGGTGGAGAAAAAATTGATGTTGTTAGAGAAAGTTGATACACTTGTTAATGCTACAGATTTTCTTACCAAGCTGTGAGCTTAGCAAAGTTTACACAATGTGTTGATGAGGTAGGCCTTCATTGTGTGAAGTATTCGCCAAGTGGGAGAGATTTGAGCGTTGGAACGAATAAAACAATTAAACTGGTATCTTTATTAACTTATTTAAGATTGTTTTGTGTTTTTTAAGCTAAAAAAACATTAATAACAGTAGTAAAAATGAAAGATTTATTGATATAAAAGTTAAAACCTTGAAAATAGGTTGGGCCCTCAAAGTTCAAATTATGCTACTGACAGAGAAATATATTGAAAATAATTAAGCCTGTTGTTTACAACACATTTTAATTGCTTTAATATGCATGCATGTAAATTAGATTAGATTTATTACTTTTCAAATATAAAATTTAAAATTAAATATCACTTTATTACCAACCATACATGTGTCCTTGAAGTGACTTAAATCAAAGATCTTGTGGAAGGAAACCATCTAAGGTGTTATTAATTCTTATTAGATTAATAAACTGGAATTGTTCTAAGGGTTTCAGTTCTGGGTAAGATTGTCATTTAATAACTTTTAGGCAATAAATTTAGAAATAGAAGTGTAATTATTCCGAATTTTTATTTTTATATGTGTTGCTGTTTCAATCTTTCATTCCACAAGTTTCCTTTTTTGTCCAAGTGGTGTTATTAACCCCTGCTAAATCTTTCTTTGAAGTCTCCATAATATTTTTCTTTAAATATATATTTTTAAACTTATAATTATTAAAATTGTCATGTAATCTTTTAAGATGTACCAAATTTTAGAATAAGTTGAAAATTATGTTTTTAAGATTAAAAATATTTTGAAGCTATGGATGATGTATCAATCAATGGGATGAAAATAATCATTTTAAACACTTACCCATTGCCAATTGATTTGCCCAAATGAAAAATAATTGTTTCTTAGTTCTCAATTTCTCTTGGAATTTGATTTGATTGGAAATTATGAATAGGATTTGAAGAGAAACCCATTTGTGGATAACCCAAATGGTTAGGGTGAATTAAAGATAGTATGGACACTGTTTTAAAAACCGGACCGGACTGGCCGGTCCAACTGGTTGAACCGGGAACCGGTCACGTATCCGATCCGAGTCAACATTAAAACCGTCATTATACATTAAATCGCGTTAACCCGGTCAAAACCCGGATAAAGTCAATGAACCGCCGGTCCAACCGGACCGCCGGATAAACCGGCCTGATTTCAAAACCCCCAACCCTACCCAATCGCACTACCACAACCCATTCCATCGATTTCCTTTCTCTATTTCTCAGATTCTTCTCTTTCTCAGTTTCTCTACTAAAATTTCTCAGATTTCTCAGCTTCTCTTCAAACATTTCTCCATTAAATTTCGTTGATGATTTTTTTTTCTATAAAACGTATGCACATCTTGTGTATGTACAGGAAGAAAATGGAAAACAAAAACGAAAAGGAAGACTTAGAGATAATCGATTACAAGATTGAAACTTGTGATCAAGAAATTGAGTCTTTAAGGCCGGTGCGTGTCCAAGCAGAACCTTGACTCCACCAGATCTTCATCTTCCACAGTTGCTGGTCTCCAGCTTCAATTGGTTCTGGTCAACGAAATATGTTGAGGAGGGGAACTGACTGAGTATTGTTTCCACAGAATCAGATTTTTGGTGTTTGAGATGAAGAAGCTGAGTCACTAGAAGAGAAAAAACAGGGAATGTCATACCCATTGATTAGCCATTGGTTTTGTCTGGTAATGGCATGGTGTCGGCGCTGAACCTGTTTTGTTTTGGTTTTCGAATTTTCCAGTGTTTCCCAAAACCAAAGCATTGGCTTCCTGGAAATGTTGCAGTTGTTTTCCAAGGCCAACTGTATTCCACTACTCGGTCATGAGTCAATTTAAGTCTCAATTGTTGTAGAATGGGGCTGAAAAAATATTGTATCTACATTTGGGCTACACAAAAGCCCAAGATCCTTTAATTCTATTGTTTGAGAAATTTCGTACTTGTTATTAAATGGTTAAGGATTTGATGGAGGAAATTAAAAGATGGTAAGAATTATTTGTTGTATGAAGTGTGTTCCAATCTCATTCCAGCCAGTGGCCTTTTGGATAAAGTTTTTTAAAAAATGTGCTGATGTCATCACACATTATGATGACATCACCGGTCCAACCGACGGTCCAACCGGTTGGACCGGTTGAACCATGACCCGACCAACAAGCGGGTTGTCCTCCGGTCCGGTTTTTAAAACAATGAGTATGGATAGACATATGATCTCAGATTCAATTCCCTATTTGTACACCTACAATTTAAGTGGGGCGTCATGACGGTGGTTGTTGCACTATTTTCCTCCGAGGATTAATTTAGGTACCCGTAAACTGGCCCGGACACCTTGGTTACCCAAAAAAATATTTAGACATTGAAGGAATACAATAAAATCAATTTACCAAGACGAAAAATTGTCGCACATAAATATAATCCCCTTTCCTTTTGGGTTCCATTAACTTCTACAATATGAGCCACCACATTGGGCCTAACATTAACAATTCAAAGAGAGCTCAATCAAAGTGGGCTGGTACACTGGATCAAAATCCGGTTCAAGTCAAAATCTTATAAACACAAAAAAATGAAACTTTCTTGTATTTAAGCTGTCTAAAAAATATTCCATTTCCGAACGTATATACAAAGAACAGATTTACATCATTAGAGTGCCTAAAAATGAATACGACACCAATCTAATGGCTAAAAAGAAAAATCTTAATCAAACTCCCCATCAGCAAATTCCTCTTCAACGTTCTTGAACTCAAACCACATCTTTGATTTACAAAATTTCATGAAGAAGTACCAAAAAATCCCAAAAAGGGTGAGCAATGCACTCACCAAATAAACAGTTTTAGTAGCTACAGCCATAACATAAACCAAAAACACAGATGGAACCAAGCACAAAACAACAAGGCCAGGCACCGCCATTGGCACTCTAAATGGCCTCTCAATTTCAGCCAATTTTTTCCTAAGCCATAAAAATGATGCAAATTCAAGCAACATCCCTAAACTATACAAGAAATTTACACATGAAATTATGCTTGAAAAGTTCATGTAAGACACTGCAAGAGCTATCAATGTTGAGATCAAAATCCCTACCCATGGTGTCCCAAAATGTCTTGATCTAACCCCAAACACTTGTGGCAAAATCCCTAAATTTGTCATGCCAAGAATTTGGTATGCGCAACTACTTAATTGAGCTTCATAAAGTCCAATAATTGACAAACAAGCCCCAATTTCGACAAATATTTTTAACCATTTTCCTGAAATGATTTCAGCCAAATCGGCGAAATACCCATCAACCCAATTTTCTTGGTCTAAAGGTACTGCGCCAGTGGCAGCAAGTAGAGGTATCAAATAGGCCAAACAGGTAAGCAACCCAGCTGAGAAAAGTGCTTTCGGGAAAGTGCTTTGTGGGTGCTCAACTTCACCGGCTAAAGTACTAGCATTGTCCCAAAAATTCAAGTTCCAAAAAAGGGTATTGAAGAACAATGTCCAATCTTTTTTTACCCCCTTTTGGCCCAAACTGATCCATCTTGCAGGGTCAATTTTGGGGATTGCAATAAGGGTGAAAACAACAAATGGTAAAAGCGAAAAAACTCCTAGAGTGACTGCAGTGTAACCCACAATAGCCAAGCCTGTGTAATTAACAAAAGATAAAACACAAGTAGATAAAAAGACGGCAAAATAATGAGGAATTCCTGAAGAAATAACCGGAATAATTAACTTGAGATAGTCTATGCAAAGAACTGGATATGAGGCCAAGTTGATGACCCCGCTGAGGAATTTCCAGGACCCCATGAGGGAACCCCAAAAGGGGCCGAAGGCGCGGTGAGCCCAAATGACATAGCCTCCATTTCCAGGGAAAGTTGTGGCAAGTTCAGCAGTTACTAGGGCCTCAGGAATGCTCCAAATGAAGGGAAAAATAAGGAAGCCCAAGATGGCAAAGAGGGGGCCAGCCGCCCCCACCGCTTGCTCCTCGCCGTAGGGGCCGCCGGCGACCTCGAAGAAGATGAGGAAGATGAGAGGGAGGAGGTGTAGTTTCTTTGGTGGTTGTTGGTTTTGTTGAAGAAGATGTGTATGTTGGGAGGCTGTTCGTTGTATCATTTTAATTTGTTTTAGGTTAGTTTGAGATTTTGTTGGATGTTCTGAGCTGATATTTCATTATTTTGTTGCCAAGGGGGTTGATAGATTTTGTTGGGTGGTCGAGCAGATATATCTAAGTAATCCCTGCAGGTTTGGGAACCAGGAAAAATACCCCTGCAAAATTACAGTTAGTCTCTACAGGTTTGAAATACAGCAAAACTCCCCTATGATCTGAACCAGACCGCAGAGGTCGCCGGTTTCCGGTTGGACTGGCCGGTCCGGGTTTCAAAGTTGGTGATTATAAAGAATGGTAACATAAAATAATAGCCAAAATAAAAAAAAGCTAGTACATGACGTTATTATCAATAAAATTATCCTTAAAATCATATTTGGTTGCCAAATTTTCTTATTAGTTGATATTTATAATAATAATTGGGATTATTCAACATATGCATGATCTCTAAGATGCATTTTGTTGGATTCGAATCAAAGATGAAAACATAAAATAATAATTTTGCAGTTGAATGACAGCTTATTATGTACTGTTTTTGTACTATCAATAATGAGAAATATTATAAATTATAGAAATAATTGTTGTGCGCTCATGGAATTATAGCTGGCTTTGTGTTTCAAGATTTGGTCCAACCAACTAATTCTATTGGAATATTCAATATCACTATTATTTATGATTCTTCAATCCCCATATTCTAAATATTGACCAAGTGGGTATTTAATATTGAAATAATTTGCTCTTCTAAACAATTATATTTAAAAATAAAATGGTGAAATGATGTTATCAACGATTCAAAATTGATATTCTCTTAATTCAGCTTGATTTGATAACTATTATCGACTCCATTATATTATCAACTCATTAACATAACAAATCTTGGATGACAATAATGTATAAAACAACAAATATCATATGTCTCTTCTTTGATTTATTCTTTTGATATCAAATTATCATGATCAAATATATAGAGATATAAATTCGGAGTTAATGAAACCTCTTCCCTGCATTACTTGGCTTGTATTCATCAAATTATAAACAGAATAACTAATAAATTAATAATATATATTTTAGTATTGATGTTGAAAAAAACAGATCTTGGGATTCTTTAGAATCCAAACACAAATTAATTTAACAATTGAAGCCGTTCCGTGCAGGCAAAAGTTATAAATATTTAAACACTATCACCCAAATTATACTTCATCTTCACATCAATCATCTCTCCCCAAAAAATTTAAAAAAAAAAAAAAAAAAAAAAAAAAAATCTTGTAATTCCAAGTCCAACTTTAACTTAATCCAAATTAATCCTATATTATATATAATCAACGTTGAAAATTCTCGTTAATTTGACATCAACTTTGTGTATCAAAAGTCAAGTGTTTTTATAGCTTGTGTGAAATAAAATCCAAATGCCAACACACTCTCCATTTTACATTCACCCTTAAAAATCTAGCATTTTGATATTGAGCTACTAAGCAAATTTTTACATAAATTAGAGTTAACCACTATTGAGTGGTCTGATAGTAAAATAGCAAATAAGGATTTAACATGGTCTCTCCAATTTAAGTCTCCTTGATGGTAGAAGAGCAAGAGGATCTAACATGATTTTTCAAGTTCAAGTCTTCTTGATGATAAAAGAGTCTTCTTAATTGCTAATAGAGAAAATCACTAAAGCTTTTACCCGAACGATAGTTTCAAGTCCTGGGAGAGATGAATTGAAGTATACGTAAGATGGTCCGGACACCCCAATCATATAAAAAAAGAAAAAAAATAAAAGAGTTTTATACTATGTAAAAGATGAAAAAACATTAAAGAAAAGAGTACAACAATATATTCTAATGGGTATGACTTTTTGTCCTCTACATGTGTATTACTATAAAAGTCTTTTGTATATATGCCCAAGATAGTTACTCTACATCTTCATAATAAGTCATTTTCTTATACAAAAGCACTTTTGCAAAAAGTCAAAAGTCAATTTAACCTAGCCAAACACATCATTCTTCACCACCATTATTGAACTTGAACACATTCTTTGACTTAAAAAGCTTCATCAAAAAATACCATCCAATTGCCCCCAATGTCATCAACCCACTCACCAAATACACAGTCTTTGTTGCAATCGCCATAATCAAAACCAAAAACCCAGATGGAATTAGGCACATAATCACCAATCCCGGCAGCCTCATTGGCACCCTGAACGGCCTATTCAATAGCGGCAACTTCCTCCTCAGCCATAAAAATGAGGCAAATTCTAGCAACATCCCCAAACTGTATAAAAAATTGGCTGATGAAATTATGTCAGTGAAGTTCATATATGAAACTCCAAGTGTGATTAATGTGGACAACAAAATTCCCACCCATGGAGTGTCAAACCATTTTGATCTTGAACCGAAAAACTTCGGCAAAGAGCCCAAATCCGCCATGCCCAAAAGCTGATATGCACAGCTGCTTAGTTGTGCCTCAAATAGCCCAATTGCGGACAGGACCGCCCCAACTTCAATCCAATATTTTAGCCATTTTCCTGCAATTATTTCAGCTGCAGTGGCATGGAACCCGGATTCCCATTGACTTTGATCCACGGAAACAGCTCCAATGACGGCTAAAAGTGGGATCAAATAGGCTAAACAAGTAAAAATCACTGCCACTAGAAGCGCTTTGGGGAATGTTTTATGAGGCTTATCTACTTCGCCTGCTAAAGTACTGACATTATCCCAGAAATTCAAGTTCCAAAAGAGGGTGTTGAAGAACAAGTTCCAATCTTTTTTAACCCCTTTTTGGCCTAAACTGAGCCATCTGTGTGGTTGAATTTTTGGGATGGAAATCAGAGACATTAATACGAAAGGAGAAAGAGAAACAATCCCTAACAAAACAGCGGCATATCCAACGATGGCTAATCCTGTGTAGTTGAGAAAAGAAAGTGCACAGGTTGATAACATAATTGCCAGATTTCTCGGCCAGCCTGATTCCAGGGCGGGGATAACTTTCTCCAGGTAGTCTATGCAAAGAACTGGAAAAGCTGCAACGTTTATGACTCCGCTCAGGAATTTCCAGGAGCCCATCATGGATCCGAGGAAGGGTCCGAAGGCCTGGTGAGCCCAGATGACGAAACCGCCGTCGCCCGGAAAGGCGGTGGAGAGCTCGGCGGTGATGAGAGCTTCAGGGACACTCCAGATGAAGGGAAAGATGAGGAAGCCAAGAAGCGCCAAGAGAGGCCCGGCTGCTTGTACTGCAGGCTCTTCTCCATAAGGGCCTCCGGCCACCTCAAAATAGATGAGGAAAATGAGAGGGATTAGTGTCAGTTTCTTGGATTTTGGTTTGGTTGTAGTGGCGGTGGTGGAAGTGATCGGAAGTTCATGGTTTTGTGTTTGGTTTTCTACTTGTGTCATGATTCAGGATCTCGAATCGAAATCTGGTAAAAGTTAAGATAAAGTCAAATCAGGAAAAACCCAATAAGAGTTAGACACAATAAGATTCAGGAAAGTCGAGAGGAAATCAAATTCGTCCTGAACTCTGAGTGTGAATTGAAGAAGGAAGGGACTATATATGTGGGGGCATGAATGTAGGGGCAGAGTTTAAGTGAAAGTGTTGCATGAACAGGGATGTGAGCACTGAAACTGATGATGAGGAGTGAAAAGTAGGGTTATGACGAAAAAGATTTTGGGCATATTTGGGAATCTGTCATTTAATTCATGCCACATATAACTTTTTCCAAGAATGATTATGAGACAATCATCAATTAATTAATTCAAGATTCTTGTATCACAAAAAAAGAAAAAAAAATCTAAAATATTACGAAATACACACGTTAAATCCATTAATTTATTTTTTTAATAAGCGTTTAGGTTTTTCTTTTTGACCATATTGATATTGTATAAAGGGTTAGTGTGAGAGTTGTTGATAGTCTGCAATCAATCGCTATTTTTTGAGTACTTCTTTTAATTGCAAACAAGTGGGTAGATGAAAGCTAAAAGTAGTTTATTTTATTTTTATGTTCTCTTCTGATTATGAAATCCCACGTCTTCAAATATGATTAAAAATATATTTCTCGATAAAGTCCAAAAGTCAAAAGATGACATCCCAATATCAATATTTTGAAAGTACACTTCTCCTTTTAGATAATTTCTTATCTCGCAATTTGATTAAATTGTTCTAAGTTTGGCTCAGAAAATATTAAATTACTAAAAATATTAAATAATTGAATAGCTAGATTATCTAGAAGATTATTAAAAAATTTTAGGAAAATATGTTTGGTTAATTGATAGGTATGTTATATTAATATGTTTAAATGACAGAAATAAATTAGTGGGTATGCTATTTAAATTACTGAATTTTCTTCTAATTAAATATTATTATTATATTATTTTTTAATATTGATTATTATTTGGATTATTATAACCCCTGTATATAAAAACTTAGCCAAAACAACATCATAATAAAAGTTTAAAAAATCAACAAAACACCCCGATCAACCCAGACACTGCTGACCACCAGAAACCATCGTAGGCTGCTGGCAGCCGACAACCTAACGGCACATGGAAGACAGGAGATGACTTTCGTGCGCCGTATGGCTATTTTCGACTAGAGATATGGTCGGAAATGGCCAGACGTGACAGATTTGACCGTTGACGGTCAAATCTACTCTGACCAGATCTGGCACGATCTAGTCATTTCCAACCAGATATCTGGCAGAAAATGAAAATAGCCATGTCGGCGCACGATGGCCATTTTTGGCCTTCCGTGCGTCGTTCTGACTGTGGTGACGACTGGCCGCGACGGTGGTTGTCGGCGGCAGGTTAGTGGGGGTGGTGGCTTGGGTGGGCTGTAATTTGTTTTGAATTCAAAGGTAATTTTGTCTAAAAAGTTAATTAATTGGGGTGAAATAGTAACAACCATATTCATGTAAATAAATTTAAAAATACGGGCATTATTATCCTAAAATTTTATTAATAAGGGATAAAATTGTAACAAAAAAAATTACTTTAGTAATCTTAGAATACTTAAGAAAATTGAAGTGATTAGATTACCTCCAATATTACTAATAGTAATTACTATTGATATTTATAGATTATTGGTATTTTTTATTACTTGACAACCAAACGTGATAACGAAATAATATAAGATGGTATAATTCGAATGCGTAATGGATTCCATAATTCTTTTAAAAGAAACAAGTAAAAAAATTAGTAGACCAATGATTGTGAAAAATCTTGTCAAATTCACATCCAATTAGTTTTTATTATAAAAACAGATAGAAATAACTCGATAAGATAAGATACACAAGTCACATTAATGAGCAATACTATAATAAATACTAACTTTTCCTTTTTTAGGATAAAATAATGAAAACGGGTGGTCGATAATAAGTCATATTAATTAATATTTAATATTAAAAAATTTAACTTAATTTTTAACTTCATAAATTCGAAGTATCGGGTATTATATAATGGTTTTTTCATAGAAGGATATTATATTAACATAAAGATAAATCACCTTAAAGATTATTAAACGTGTTTGATTGATTTGAATAAATTGATAAATAATATGTTTGGTTTAAAGAATAAATGGGTGGTTATGTTATATAGATTATTAAATATTATATAATATTATTTATTATTATTATTTTTTGAATCATTTTTTTAGTCCCTTACATTTGAAATTTTGTTAAAACACCCCCATCCATATAAAACTTTAATTTATAGTAAAATCACCCCCACCTACCCCAAGCCACTATTGATAGGTAGCCGCTACCGTCAGCCGCTAGAATGGCACATGACTGGTCGTATATGGCTGGTCGTGCGTCATTAAAGCCATTTCCAGCCATGGATCACAAATTCATGGGCACTTCATGGTTAGATCTATGACCATTTCATAGCGATCAATAAATGACTAGATCTGATCATTTCTGACTATGGATAAGAGATCCATGGCCAAAAAAGGCCTTACTAGCACAGGATCGACCAGATCTCGTTGGTTGTGCACTGTTATGGCGACTAACGATGCAGCAGTCTTAGATGACTGGGGGTATTTTGTTTACTTTAAATTTTTTTGTGGTTGAGGTGTTTTGGCTAACTTCTCGTAAGGAGCTGAATAATTATTATTTGGTAGATATTTGAAGGCAATTGTGTCCGAAATTGTATTTAATTAATGGCAAAATAGGTATAACAATCAGACCTGGTAATGTTTTAATCCCACGGGTGGTGGAGGGTATCAGATTACCCCCACATTACCAACAGTAAACACTATTTATAATAAAAAATTCTCGTAATATTTTATTACTTGCAAACCAAACAACATAATCTTGCAAAATAAACAAAGATTATCCCCGTTTTCTTATACGCCCTCGATCCAAATGCACTCTAATTGTTATAATTAAGACAGTTAAATTAAACTCCTTAATACTTAAGAAGTGTTTAGTTTAGAAAATATTGTATTATTGAAAATATTATATCAATAAGAAGATAGATTATTAAGAAGATTATTGAGAATATTATATTAAATATGTTTAGTTATATTAAAATAAATTAGTGAGTATAAATAATTAATGTTTGGTTTAGAGAAATAAAAGAATTCACTTTTCTTGAATTGTCATTCTTTTCTAATATTACTATTAATAATAATAATAATAACAATATTTCGAAAGTACACTTTTGTTTTAAGATAAGTTTTTATCCTTGAAATTTGATTAAATTATTCAAATTTATTGTGTTTTTCTCATGAACTCTTTATATGGATTATCTCAATGAATGGATTTCATAACCCTTTTGAAAGAAACAAATCAAAAAATAAAACATTTTTACAGTAAAAAAATTAGTAGACCAATAATCGTGAAAAATCCTGTCAAATGTCACATCCAATTAGTTTTTATTATAAAAATAGATAGAGATAACTCGATAAGATAAGATATAAAAGTCACATTAATAGAGCAATACTGTAATAAATACTAACTTTTCCTTTTTTAGGATAAAATAATGAAAACGGGTAGTTGATACTTGATAATAAGTCACAACACATTAATAGTGATGGCAATGGGCCGGGCCGGGACCGGGTACCCCTTGGCCCAAGCCTAAGCCTAACCTCATGACATAGGCCTAAGCCCGGCCCGAGCCCGTTACGAGTATGATAGGCAAAGTCCAAGCCCGGCCTGATGGGTTTTTTATAACCGCAAGCCCGACCCAAGCCCGCCTTTTTTAATAATGTTTATTTTTAAATATTAATAAATTTCAATTTTTTTTTATATTTTTAATTTTAGAAATAGTTTTTAAATATTAATTGAAGCTATTTCCGCAAATAATTTAAGCAATAAGTGAGTAATTAAAACTCCATAATATTTGATTATACTAACTTTTCAGTTGTACATAATATGTTATGGTGAAATCCACTTTTATAAGTTGAACCAAACCCATCTAACTCATTTAAAGACAATTTTAGCATGTTAAACCTTCAATATGGGATGAAAATTGAGATTAGGGTTTGGAAAAAATGGATATATATATGTAGGATAATATTGTAATTAAATATATAGTATAAGGGTAAATTAGTAAAATTAATACTAAATTTTTTTGGGGACGGGCCGGGCCTAAAGATATACCCATGCTTGGCCCGTACCCGAGGTCGGACCTTAAAATCAAGCCCAGGCCCAAGCCCAAGCCTAAGCTAGCCAATCTCAGGTAAAGCCCGCCCTTTTCAGGCCGGGCCGGGCTAGGTACCCAAAAATATCGGGCCCATTGCCATCTCTACACATTATTTAATATTTAACATTAAAAAAATTTAACTTAATTTTTAACTTCAAAAATGTTAAGTAAATGTATGAGCTGTTTAGATTATATAATATTTTATTATAGAAATATTATATTAACAAAAAGATAAATTACTTCGAACATTATATATAATGTCTAGAAAATATATTTAGTTGGTTCGAATAAATTCATGAATAATATTTGTGGTTGAAAGAATAAATAGGTGAGTATGTTATATAGATTAGTAAATTGCCCTTATTTTTAAATATTATATAATAATATTGATTATTATTATTATTATTTTTTGAATCATTTCTTTTAATCTCATACATTTGAAATTTTGCTAAAACACTCAAGTATATAAAATTTTAATTTATAGCAAAATCACCTCCACCCACTACCGCTAGTAGTCGACAGAATGGCACACAACTGGCCGTATATGGTCACCCGTGCGTCGGCAAAGCCATTTCCAACCATGGATCACAAATCCATGGTCGTTTCATGGCCAGATCTATGGCTATTTCATAGTGATCGTGAAACGACCATTGAAACGACTCAATCTGGCCGTTTCCAACCATGGATCACAGATTCATGGTCGGAAAAGGCCTTACCGATGCACGATCGACCAAATCCCGCTGGTTGTGCACCATTACGGCGACTGACGCCGATGGTGGTTTTGGGTAACTAGGGGTATTTTGTTAAATTTAAACTTTTTTGTGGTTGGGGTGTTTTAGCTAATTTCTCAAATGTAAGGGGCTGGATAATTATTATTTGGTAGACATTTAAGGGCAGTTGTATCCGAAAAAATACCTACTTAATGGCAAAATAGGTATAACAATCAGATCCGGTAATGTTTTAATCCCACCGGTGGGGGAGGGTATCGGATTACCCTCACATTACCAACAGTAAATACTATTTGTAATAAAAGATTCTCACAATATTTTATTACTTGTAAACCAAACACTATAATCTTGTAAAATAAACAAAGATTACACTTGTTTTCTTATATGCTCCCGATCCAAACGCACCCAAATTGTTATAATTAAGGCAATTAAATTAAACTCCTTAATACTTATGAAGCGTTTGGTTCAGAAAATATTGTATTACTGGGAATATTATATCAATAGGAAGATAGATTATTAAGAAAATTACTAGAAATATTATATTAAACATGTTTGGTTAGATTAAAATAAATTTGTGAGTATAAATAATTAATGTTTGGTTAAGAGAAATAAAAGAATTGTAGGGGAGACCTTTTACTAAATTGTCATTCTTTTCTAATAATAATAATAATAATATATTATATTATATTTTCATTAATAATATATTATATTATATTATTAATAACAATATTATTGTATTATATTATCAATAATATTATTATATTATTAATTTTATTTTTTTGGATGTTTATACTAGAGAAAATTTATTTATTTAATGATTATCGTTTTTGCTATCACAATTTTCATAATTGCTAAATACATCATCAACCTTGTATTTTTATGCAGAATTCCAAGGTGGAGCCATGGAAGACCATAGAAATTTCAATGTAAAAAACAACCATTAAATAAGGAGACCAAAAGTTAAATAAAAAACAAAAAGCTCTATTTCAGATTTTCGATAATTTCTTTTACCAATTTATCCACAGAATTGAAAAAATAACTTGTATTTATTTTCAAATCATTTGAATAAATATCTATTTAAAATAAGTGAGGAAAATAAACTATAATTATTCACCAATAATTCGAATATTTATGAAAAATCAGAATTCTTAAAAATATCATAAATTATATATTGAATATTTCACATTATTAAATTAAAAGAAACAAAAAGGTATTATTTTCCCAGCCTAAAACGGCGCCTTTCATGTTTCAACCACAAAGCAAAATTTCATTTCTTTCCCATAAAATCTCGCTTCTATGGAGTTGCAGGTGAGCCAGATAATGGAGTCACTGTCGCTAAACCAACTAATCTCTGCAACAAACCGAAGAAACCCACTAAAGCCTTCTCATTTTTCTACAAGAAAACCATCTCTTCACCTCCAAACTCGGCCTCTCCGCTTCAAGACTTCGATTCGCTCCAAACAATCTGATTATCAAGGTAACGTATAAAAATCTCTTATTGGGTTTCTCAGTAGTGAAAATTTTCATTCTCTAGTAGTTTAATTTTGTTTTTTTAGCTTATATTAAGTGTTTAGCCTAGTGGATTTTAATAATAACGAGATAAATATTTCATTTTTGCAGCCAAAGGTATAATTTTAGGGCTAAGAGTACATCCTGGTACCGGTGACAGGGTTTTAGTAACGCAATGGAAATTTGGAATGTACAGTACTATATTTCTAACATCGAATGCTAACTTGGTTGTGGAATGTCACATGATTTTAGTAATAAACAAGGTTTGGCTTGTAAATGTTACCATTGCGGCGTGTTAATTGAGTCTTAATAGGATTTTAGGAATCTTAGTTTAGATGTTTATCAACTGACTTAAATGAGGCCGTTTTTGGTGAGATTGTTGATGGAGCTAGAGGCAATCTTTTGGGTGTGTCGGAGGTGCAAAAGGTTGAACTTTATATGTAAATGAAAAATCAGATTGTTGAGTGTTATTTAACATGGAAATGATTGTAGTTGTGGAATTTATGTTAGATACATTGCTGTTCTCTGTTCGAGCAGAGTCTAGACTGGCCGGAGCATTTGAGCTTTGCTTTTGTTACGTTTCAATATCATACTCTTTTAAGGTGGTGGCCTCTCAAGGTTGAATCTGCCAGTCAGCTTGTGGATCTATTACACATATACTTGTTGAATAATGATGGACATATAAAGTCATATAAACTAATATATACACTTGTTGAATAATGATGGACATATAAAGTCATATAAACTAATATATACAAGTAGATATGACAAAATGTAATTAGAGAGAAATCTAAACATAAATTAAACAAATTGAAGTAAATAAAGTAGCAATCATGAAGCAATGTTGCATCGGTTTGTATGTATAGCATTACTCATACTTGTTTAAAGGTTATGCGGTATATATTCCTAATTGTATCTTTGGGTACATAAATGATATTGGATTTAACATGTTAATCATCTATATGTCAAACATATGTCCTGGTTCAGAACTTGTGAGAAATTCTCTTTTACTTTCCAAATTGTATACTTACACACATTGAAAGAGGCCTTAGCCAGTAACATAGCTAGAAATTTATGTTAGTTTGGATTATGTTACATGCAACAGCCAGGTCAATGTTAGGTCTGGCATTTTCTATGGTATTATGATATCTAGGACCTTGGTGGCTTTAAATATCTGCACTTCACGGACAGTAGAATAACAACTTTGTTAACTTAATGGCGGTAGCCCTATAATGTCTCTGTGTTTGCTTCTTAAATTTGATTTTGGTTCAATATTCAACCACTCTTGATTTAATATAATTTCAAATAATAATTTAGTGAACTTAAAAAGTATCTGCTTCAGACTTTCAGGGCTATGCAAAACCTTCACGTCTGTTGCCAGCCACAGAAGTTAAAGTCTGCACTGAAACCTCATTAGAAAGGATTATTTCATCCTTCAATGTCAGTGGATCTCAGTCTTTATTTAAGGTCAAGATAGAGACAAGTAATATCTATGGCTCAAGTCTGAGTGATTTAAATGCTGGTATACTCTTCTGCGTGATAGACGAAAACGGTAACTCAATATTACAGAGGATACCACCAAGTTGGGTGACTGATCACTCTGCCAAGACAAAGGACTCAGTTGATTCTAATATTGTCCATTTCCAGAGAGGTTCTTCGGATGAGTTCACCTTTGAGGGACCTAGACTGGGAAAAGTTGAAGCTCTTTGGATCAGTCTGGAATCAGGTTAGTAATCATTATACAAATGATTCGTTAATTTGCAGCTACAGTATAATTTTTGAGAAAGTTGCCACAATAGTCTGTTGAGCATGAGTTCAAATTTTCTGTCAATGTTTGACTGGAATTTTGAATGACTGGTTTACATTTTCTGTCATTTTCATTTCTAAGGTCAGGTCAGTGGAGATTAGGAGGTGTGAGCCTGACAGTCATCAATGCTTCTCAACCTTTACCAAAAGAAGATGATGGAGAAGAAATCAAGTATACTGTTTACTGCTACGACTTTGAAGTTGACGACATCTTGCTCGGTGAGGGAGGCGATGCATCCATGGTGGAGATTAGACCTTTCAATATAACCGAGTTATCTGGGGTTGATCCATTCACCTTATTGAGTAAAAGCCTTTGGCAGTCGACTCCACTTTTGAGTGGTGGGATATCTAATGAGGAAAGCATGAAGGAATATGCAGTTTTGAAATTCTCTTTGTTACTCTATGATGCCATTCTGATCTTCATTGGTACATCAGTTGCATCCTTCTCCGTTGGTGAGAGTTCTGCTTTTGCATTCTTAATTGGTGGGGTGAGCGGTTTTTTGTACTTATTGCTATTGCAAAGGTCCATTGATGGATTACCAGCTCCAGCTTTGCGTTCCAATAACCCAGGAGGAAATTTCTATAGAGGATTTAAGGGTCCATTGTCGAGCCTTGCATTGGCTATAGGATTTTCTCTTTTAGCTATCAAGTATAGCGCGGGGGATGATATTCCATTCATGTTGACTCCAAGAGAACTCTTGTTTGGGATGATGGGATTTCTTGCATGTAAAGTCGCAGTCGTGTTGGCTGCGTTCAAGCCTGTGCCAGTGAATTTAAAGGAGAACAGATGATACATTCTCGTTCCATCTGCCGCAAAGAAAGAGAGGTTTGAGCATTGTAAGATTGGTTTAGACCTTTGATTTGAAAAAAAATACTCAGCTGTAGATACTTAGTAAAAAATTTATACATGATCTGCATACTTGTAAAAGAAATGACCTGACAGTGTTAATCCTTTATAAGCTTAATTGATCAATGAGCTATATTTTCTTTTTGATTCTAGCCTTTAAATTCAATGCCCTCTACAAGAAAAAAAGCTATTTACGACGGTAAGTTGTAAAAAACTTATTTCCAGTGCCTCTTTCAGCGGAAATGAAATTTCGTTGTAGACGTGTATACCATTCATATCAAGAGTAACAGATTTACAACTGTACTGTACCAACTAAAAAGGGTTGTTTTTATTTTTTTAATTTTTTTTATAGTAACGTTATATAGATGTGGAGACAATTGAGTAGAGCATATGAAGTTGGTGCTATTGAAGTCAATTGTATTGTAATTAATCCAGTAATGTGTTAATCAGGTTATATATGCAATTCTATATACTTTATTCTTAAAAAAATAAAGAAATTTGCAGGAGAAAATGATTGTATATTATTCTCAAATGCCGACGCCCACTTTAGAAATAGCTAGAGAATTTTTTCTAGCTTTAACATCCGCAGAATCATTGACATACAATAAATCTGAAAGTTTGATAACATGAATCGAATTTAAAAAAAAATTATTCATCCTTTTACAATTTACATAACAAAATATGTTTTTGTACTTATGTGGCTGACCACAAATTACGCAGCTTAACCTTTGTTTTTCCAGCACAACTCAATTAAGGCAAAATAAAATATTATACGAACTGGGACTTAAAAAAAAAACACACATACACACACATATATATATATACTAGAACTATCGATTAAATAAGAGTTCTAGTAACTACCTTTATTAGTAACCGAGGAGGGGTTCGAACTCAAGACTTTTTGAATAATATACTCAAGAGTTTTTATCGAACTACTCAATCACTCAGAGATAGTTTTATGACAGACATTAATAGTAACATATATATGTATATAAATTTTCAGCTTTGAAAATGAACTTTTCATCTTACTTGAAGATCTATAACAATTTAAAATGTAAATTGGGTATGAATTAATGGCATCATTCAGTCATAGTATATGTAATAATAGGGCTCATAAATTAGCTCACAGACTCACAGTCCATAGCACCATGTATATCTATATCTATATATATATATATCATAATTTTCTTATCTATTGTGATGATCATATATATGAAATATATATTATGTGACGAACTTGCTGCAAATAAAAAAGAAGGTTGGAGTAGAAATAATTATCCGAGAAGAAAATTTCAGTACACTGATACGTGATCTGAAACATCTTCAATTATTGATACATAAATATTTGAAATAAAAAACCGTACATTATTATTCAACCCATGCACAACGAATCGAATCATTCATAAATCAATGAATGATTTAACAGCACTATTCTTTTGGGCACTTGTAGTAAGCAGGGACTTTGCAATCGATCCTACAGGTCTTGAGGACTGAGTTCGAAGTATAAGCAATCTTATCCTTATGTTTATCAGTGTTATGCCTAAAATGTCAGGGCTGAAGTTGACTCTCGTTAGCAAGAGTCAATTAGAATTCAGGGAGGTTTTGTGCTGTCTAGACGTTGCCTGGTCACGCAATGACAGAAGAGGTATGGTTCTTGTTAGTGTAACAAGTGAATGTCAGGCTTGCGAGTGGTTAGAGATTGTCCACTTGCCCAAGCCCTATGCAATTTGAGGATATCTCTCGTGCAGACAACCAATAGGATGCAAGGAAGGACTTGCACGACACCTACCCACTTGCAGACTTGTAATCATTACCTTGAATTCTCCCACTATAAATAGATGACTCCTCTCTCATTTATGGGATGGACTTATCTTAGTCTAAAATAGCATATGCTCTCTCTCCCTCTCTCTATATTCTCTCTAGATTGTAACTCATCTCGCTGCATGCGACCTGATTGTAACCATCTATTAATACAATCATAGTGGATGAAGGATTCGCTTTTAAGCATCCGAACCACTTTAAAAACCGTCTTTTATTTACCCTCTTGCTACATATTTTCGTATCACGTGTAACTTCTAGGCCCGTTTAGCATTTTGTATGTGTGAGTCGTTGGTGTTAAAATCAAGCATCAATAGTTTGGCGTTAGAAGGAGGACCTGATTTAGTATTTGTTCTTCATCAGAAACATCTGACTAATCGGTCCTACCCATCAGCAAATGGCTCGCGATTTCGAAACTGAGCGAACCGACTTGACAATGAGCAAATCCCCAGGTACAGGATGACACTTTTGTCGAAGTGCCGCCAGTCCAACAAAGTATCATGACGAATATTCATTCAAGCTCACGGCTTGACCCAGCCGTAATGAGTTACCTGGAGAGGTTTAATAATACTCTCCAAACGGTCTGCCATCGGGTAGTGCCACCAGAGTCCAATGAAGCGGTGCCATCGCCAAAAAGGCCTACAGGTCGTGTGAAAAAGGCAAAAGCCTGTACCGCACGCACTCTAGTGCGCAAAAGTAGGGGAAAGCAAGTGGCGAGCAGCAGACCGAAGGGCTTTAAGGGACCAACGAACATCGGTCATGCAATGGGTAGAATACCCGTGGCATTGTGACTCGGTGACATATTGCAGTATGAGCCATCTCACGCCATGGCGCATGGGCACTCCCACAAAAGTGCAAGGCAAGGAGATTCCCAATATTGCAAAAATGATGACCTCGATCGTCATCATGCGGGAAATCCCCGCCGTTCGCGAGTCAGTTTAGACCACCGCAAAGATCGAGAAAACTCCTCGAGTCATTCAATGCCTTCACACGGCTCTAGCCAGCGTGTGTCAAGGTTCATTGGAGCTTTTGGCCGAGTTGAGGAAGAGCCCGATTTGTGGTCTTTCCTTAACCACAATCGTGAGGGTCAAACCCACGTTGCGGAAAGTGCTCCCCAGGTAGCTCTACTACTCAGATTGAGGAACTACAGCGAGCTTTGGATCAGCTTAAGGCTCAGTAGAATGAGGGTGGGAAGGTCATAGAGGCGTCTCCCTTTTCTCTAGCAATTTTAGCTGCTCCTCTCCCATCGAGATTCAGAATGCTCAACATGTAGGCATTCGATAGGAATTCAGATCTGCAGGATCACCTTTACGAGTTTAACGACTTTATGGAACTCCACCAAGTCTCTGACTTGGCCAAATGTCGCTATTTAGTAGTAACCCTAACTGCCTATGCCAAGAGCTGGTTCAGGTTGTGATAATCCTATTTTTCCTTATAATTTTGCATTAAATTTCAATAGGATTTAGGATACTTCTCATACAATTTGGGCCATAATTGCTACCTAATTCTATTAATTTTTCTTTGCAGGCCTAAATAATGATTTTGAGTATAAATGACAGTTTTGAGCGTAAATTGCGTAACTTGAGCTTGGAAACTCGGAATGACCTGAATTTAGAAGTTTGGAAAGCTTAGAAGCGGAGCTACAACTTTCACATTTTGGGTTTTTCCTAATTCTGACTGAACGAGGGTGAAAACTTGGCTTGAAGTCGTGAACAGTATGTTGAGAACTGAAGAAAAATATCTTTGGACATGCTTCAGTATTTTGGACATAACTTGAGATGTGGACCTTTTATTGGGCTGATTCTTGAACGAGTAGAAATATAATTGAAAGGGATACAATTAATATGTTTACTACTTTTCCAGATTCAGATTCTATCATGCTAAAATTTGGCCCGAAAGATCCTCGCTGCGGCGAAACTGCGTCAGATGTGAAAAATAAAATGACGTGTTTTGGCTTGCTAGGGCTTCATCCTTAAGTGAGAGAGGTATAAATTAGCATGAGAAGGAAGGGAAAAGGGGCTTGGTTCGTCATTTGGGAGGCAGCTCTTGGAAGGAGAAGATTATTGAAGATTTGGGCTTCAAATAAGAGAAGATTTCTCCATCTTTTGCTTGTTTTTCAATGATGAAGCTTGATTCAACTTGTCTTTGTTATTTTATTTTGTTTTTAAGTATGAATTGAGTTGTTTAGCTAGAGTTTGGTGTAACCTTGATACAATGATTCAAATTTATATGTTTTGATTTACTTTGAGTTTTAATTTCATGATTGAGTGTTTATCTCTTTGCTTAATGACTTTTGGTTGGTTGATCACCATTCAAATGTATATTGTTCACAATGAGATTGAAAAGTGATTTGTGATTGTGCCTCTTGGGATAAATACCATAGATTGAGCGAAAACTAGAGATAGATAAATGCGATCTATGAAATCTAGATAGAATTTATAAAGCTTAAAAGACTTTGAGCTATTAATTTTCATTTTGTTGGGTGCGGAAGCTTAATAGGGATAAGTAGGAAAATATAGCCTGAGAAGGTATGCTTTACAACTTAGGGAATTCGATTTTCAATCAAGGAATTAGAACTTGGGTAATAGATTCTATGATTTGGGTTAGCGTATCTAGGTGAAATCAACACCCTAGCATTTTTTTAGCATTGTTTAATTAGTTTAAGTTGTTGGGTTTTTCTTTAATTTCATTATCATTCATTTATATTTTGTTAATTTGTATTTAATTGTTAATTTTCCATCAATCCAATTTACTGTTGCTTCAATTAGGACTTAAACTAGAGAAATCGGTATTTAGTAAAACTTGATGCGTGCTTTTGACAAACATGCATATGTATCAAGTGCACTAGTCACAAAAAATAATAAAGTGATAAGTAGAGTATCGTTCCCATGAGGATAGTATTACTAAGTGCCAAAATTTCACCCTCGTCCAGTCAGAATTAGGAAAAACCCAAAATGTGAAAGTTGTAGCCCCGCTTCTGAGCTTTCCAAAGCTTCTAAATTCAGATCATTCCGAGTTTCCAAGTTCAAGTTACGCAATTTACACTCAAAATTTTCATTTATGCTCAAAATCATTCGTTTAGGCCTGCAAAGAAAAATTAATAGAATTAGGTAGCAATTATGGCCCAAATTGTATGAGAAGTATCCTAAATCCTATTGAAATTCAATGCAAAATCATAAGGAAAAATAGGATTATCAGGTCGCTTCCTGCAGGATCAATTAGCTCATGGCATCAAATGAGCTCATCATTCCTGAGACACTTCCAAGCGAACCAGAAGTTCTCAATGCCGTTGAGCTACCTGAGCAACATATGACAGGAGAGGGATGAATCC